AGGCAGTATGAAACTGGATCCTGGGGGATTATTCTGAGCGAATGAACTCTATCCGACTTTTCTCAAGTGTCCGTGAGCTATGATCACATGTCAGATAACTTCACTGTTGAGGCTTTACACTATGAAAGGAGTTTCAGCTGTTGACGGTCATCTCTCTTTTCTGCAGATGACTTAGGAATTATCACTGAGACAACAGCGAAATTGGTGTCACTGTTACCTCAAATGAGACATTGAAAAGAATAATCGAGATGGCTATGACATCCTTCAGTGAAAACTATAACTTATCATCCCATGCAGTTCATGATTTTTAAAGAAATCTGTTTTATCTAGCAGATCTCATCGAGGAAAGGGAGTCATGTTAACCGTAGGCATAAGCGATTGTGCGTTGGTGGTATAGCGGTTAGGACATTCGCAGACCATCCACGTGGCCCTGGATTCGACCCCCGGCCGGCGCACTCCTTTACCTCACTGAGCCAGAATTAATGCTGGTAAAGAGGAAAGGTTGGGCATGAGGCTAGCAACCCCATCCTGTAAAAATTAAACACTGCTACAGAAACTTCAAGCCACTAGTCTGGAGCCCTATGTTCCACTGGGAACATGAAGGAAAAATTATTATTATTTATTTACTATAAGCGATTGACAATGTCTTCGAGGATTTTTGCAGAACACTTTAAGTGGCCTGCTCATGAGGACAGACAGTTGTGGAACTGAAGAGAGGCTTTTTATTTTGATTGCACAATAGTTTGTTTTTTCTCATGTATTTTTAATCCATCTAACACATACTCGAGCTTTTTGTAAATACGGAGACAACATTTCTATATTGCTTACGTGCGCCATTGAACGACTAGTTGGCAGATAGTTCCCACAAACTAAATTCAAGGAAGACAGCATCCGCGTAATTTCACCATAAACCAAATTTACGCAATTCAAATAATGCTTCTCCATGACTATAAAAGTGATGCGTCCTACATAGGGAGGAAAAAATAACTACTGTTATCATTATCGACAGTGAGTGTCAACTCTAAACTGTCATGCTGGACGACAGTAGAAATCAGTGTAGGTACTGTGATTAGTGCTGTGAAATTGACAATTTACTTTGATATTTACCCGGGTTGCTATCTCCCACAATTCGCCGAAAATTTCGTAGACTAACCGGAGTCAGCAAAATTTAGTATTTCAAATAAATCTCAAAACTATACTTTGTGTCTTTTTGTTTAAATACGCAATCGTGCGCATCTGACACTCACGGAGAAGATACTTTAGTTTCTTGAATCCGATTGAATTACAGCTATATCATACGTTTATACCTCTGGGTGAGTGGGAATCGTAGGGAACACATCACACACAACCGGTATTCGAAAGGAAAAAGCCGTAGTGGTGTGTCCCCATACTTGGCCGATAATTTCAAAATATAAAGGCATCCCTAAATAACCATCAGTATCTTATCTTTTTATTAAGTAAGTAAGACTTTACCAGCAGCTGACTATCAGGTTATGGTGAGTCAGGCCAGGCAATCAGCTAGTTATTTGTTCTAAGATCAGGTCTTTCTGAGCGGCTTACCATATAGAAGCAATGAACATTGTTTCCAGCCGAGGTCATTCTGTAAATGAGTTCAGTTTTTGTAGCAATCTAGCCAAGAGGCTTCCTAGAATACCTCGCCCTTCACTTTAGACCCACACGCCATCGGAAGTTCTGATTTAAAACCAGTGAACGCTGCCACCTGCTTCTTTAGAGCCTTCACCACAATACAACGGATCTTTACTAGGATAATCACTGATATGCTGACCATAATATATTCCTTTGATCAGTCTGATCCGTGATATGACGGCCTTAGCATGTCACGTACGGTTTGACGCTCTGAATCACTTCTTATCATACCAGTGAGAAGGGACATCCCAGACTACACAGCAGCAGTTTGAAACTTAACGATAAACTGTACTGCCTCAGACTACTGACCAAACATTTTCTGGAAACCACTTCCGAGGAGGAGCACTGTTCGCACTTTCAATCGACTGTTTCCTCAAAGAGAGTAGTCAGGAAGTGACATCTGGTAGAGGATTACTAACATGAAATTCGGGGATGCGACACCCATTCAAAATCTGATTATGCCGAGTATCTTCGAAAGTTGACCTAAGTGCCATACAGACTGATTGTGGTGATAGTCCCTGCTTTATCCGCCCACTGTGATACGTTCGTCTGCTTTTAAGGGTAACATGTCACGACATTTTCGCTAGTGACAGCTTTCGTATGAACTGTTACGGGGAATGAACACGGGAGGCAGTCTGTTCGCTTTAGATTCAGATTTATTGATTAAGAGTGGAAGGTCTGAAGCCTATGCTAATATTTCCTAATGAGTTTTCTACTTCTCTAAACCCCTCTCAAACCAGCCAATTAAGGTCAATGCAATTCCTCTTCCGGTAGTCTCGCAGTTTATGACTCGGTATGAAAAACAGTGCTGCAAAGCTATTCAGTTCCAACGTGGCTTCCGAGCTTTTTTGAGAAGGGAAGAGACAAAGTATGTATAGTCCGTAGTCAATGTTTTCAATTTGAAAAACCATAATGTGATATTTTTTCTGTTTCTACGCTACAGTGGTGTGAGATGTGAGACTGGTGGGTCTGTTGTTCGTGAAGAAATATAGGTTGAATATATGAAAAGACATCAATAAAAAGCGGTAAAACACTTCGAAAATTCTCATCTGTTGCAATGGTTGCATAGCAGCAAAATGTTGTTTGGATAAGCAAATCTATCGACGTCGTGACCTTGAAGGAATTTGAAAGAGGTTGTGTTGGGCTGGTTTTTGGACGTATGGTTAGTAATGCTTCTGATTTTGGCATATATATTGTATGACATGTACATCTGTATTTCATAATTCGGACTTGATTAATCATGTAAAGTTCTGCTATATTTCATTGTCTGGAAGCTTTGCTTATTGTGTTTCAAAATAAAGCAGCATACCACTTGCATATATGTGATATCTTAACTACATAGCGTTTGAGCCATATGACTACACATGTGGTCGTTCTGCGGAAAATAACATCACGTTTCAGCGAGAAAGCTACACTTTCGGGAAAGAACTCGAGCAAAATTGTTTTTATGAGTTATCTTCTCTGTTTTTGGGTTTTTAACATCTGTTTCCATACTAAGCCTTAAATTTATTTTGGATATCCAGCTAGCTTCGTAATGTCTTATACAGTCTTCATTCATTACTCCTACTGTCAGTATTCAATGTTTCTATGCTTATATGTCGCCCATAACAGTAAAGTGCCAATTATTTAGTCACTCTGACTGTTGTACTGTTTGGGAAAGCATCATCCACAGCACAGTGATATCTGGTAATCTCTTGGATAGATTTCAACTCCATTGTTTTAGGTCGTATAGGCAATTTAAATTGTGGCGCTAGTTAACATAGTCATCTTAATTTTAATTCGAACTGGATGAGCAAGTACAAGCCGTTTTAGCTCTTGGACAAAATTGTCGGTGTCAACATTTAGTACTCCTCCAACTGGTTCCCCATTTGGCTTGCACTTGGGAGCCTGACTTGTGATGAACTCAATAGTATCCTCTGTGAATGTCCAGTACATTTTCACTCCTTTCTGCATCCCTGTTGGGTGATGGCTTCTATGCTAGTTCGTTGTCAGAGTTCTTTGTGACCTGCTTTTCCTTTCTTACCAACTGAGATGGCTGGTTATAAAAGTCTGAAGTAGCCCATTGAAAATGCTTTTAGTTGAAGGCGTCCTTACCAAGCTATAATCAAAAAATTAAATATAGATGCATTGACAGACTCAACAGTAGTGTTGGTTATTCGGATGTGGTTCCTTATGCTGAATACAGTGGATTTCCACATTGAATTCAGATAAGTGAAAATCTGTCTCGCTAGTCCTATCTGGGATGGCTTTCACATCTTCATCTCTTCTGTGTGAAAATCTGCACTTATAATCAGACCGGTAAACATGCAGATCCACGTAAGAGGAGCTGGAAAGCCCTCGTCTCTCAGCCTATCTTACATATCAGTCTCAGGACTTAAAGGGATCAAATGATATGTGGACCTGTTTTAATCACGGGAAATTATGGGGACTCAGTTACTTATTCTGCATCACTGCTTTGGATATCAAAACTTCAAGTTAGAGGCTCAGGAGGCGGGGGGAATTGGTCCCTCAAGACAACCATCTACTTTGGTATGGGTGTTCATGTATAATATCCCAGCCTTTGCATAAATTATAAAACAACGATCAATCCGGTGCTGACTATTGTCCTCTATCAACTTTCCTATTATTCACTGAATGTACCAATGTACTGTCCGTTTTCGACAGACAAACCTATAAAAAAAAGTAAAATTAAGACATCTGGGCATAGCCGAGGCACTAGCCATCCATAAGCCCAAACCCACGCTATGTATCTGAAAGAAATACGTCCAACTCTTGTCCCCCACCTTGGTTATCATAAACAGTTATTTCTTTTAATAGTGACTATCTCATTACCTTTCTTACCCAAACTTCCTGCTTATTCGGGTTATTTTTTAAAGTTTTTCTTAATCCTTGTTGACACTATCATATTTTCTTATCCGAACTTCCTGCCTGTTTTTGTTATTTTATTATTTTTCCATATTTAATCCCTGATTGCATAAACAATTATTCGTCACATTAGTTATGATCCCACTAGATTTTTTATCCAGCGATCGTCGAAAAGAAAATTTTCTTCGCTGCAACTGTCTTCTTAATAATTCCTATGATCAAATTTTGCGTATATTCCCTGACTTATTATTCATTAACTTTTTTGAAATGTGATTTTTAAAAAAAGGTTATTTTACGTTGTGTTTCCTGTTTTTGTTTCTCCTCTCGATTTCAGATAGCAACTTTTTCTCATGCAAAACATAACGTGTAAAGAAAGAGGATAACGGTGAAATAATTTTGGTAAGATTCGTGTATTTATTTTGTTATAATGTTCACTTTTATATTTGCTCTTTTAGTTCTTTTTGTTGTTCTTATTGTTGCTATTTTCCATGGAATTTGAGAAGGCAAAAGTTGTTGTAGGCGGTGATTCTGGTAAGTTTGTGTTTAATAAATAGTAAAATCTCATAAACATTGTTTTCTTCAAAAGGCGTTGGTAAAACAGCCCTAGTTCATTTAATATGCAATCAACAACCTCTTCTACATCCATCTTATACAATTGGTTGTAGTGTGGATATTAAAGTTTGTAGTTTTTTTATTAATTAATCTTTTTGCCTTTCCTTCTAAAAATATCTTAATCGCTTTATCTAGGTTCATTTGTGTAAATCAGACCCAACAAAAGAACGTCCATATTTTATTGAATTATGGGATATTGGCGGGTCAAATGGACATGCTAATACACGATCAATATTTTATCAAAATTTACACGGATTAATATTAGTCTATGATTGTACAAATAGTAAATCACAAGCAAATTTAAGAAAATGGTTATGTGATATATTGGGAAAACATAGTATGAAAAAGTAAGTCTTTTGAGGCCTTTGTGTTTTAAATTGTGGCTTGACTGTGTACACTTTTAAGTATTGCTTTACCAGGGATATGGTTGATTTCATTCTAGTGAGAAGCTGTAACTAGCAGGGTCCATGAAGTTAGTTAAGAGAACAGTTACTAGTCGATGACATTGACTAATGGTCGCCCTGTATTGGGAATGGGCTTGTGTTCACCAAGGTGCTGTACTCTCCCCACTTCTCTTTTCTTTCTTTCTTTCTTTCTACATGACTTACCATCTTCAAATGACATTAATTTTGTTAATTATGCTGACGATCTGATTGTCTTTTCGCCTGTCAAATATCAAAGTGACTGCTCTAAACTAAATGACTTTTTATCAGAAATCAGCCAGTGGTCCACGGAAGACGGTCTTACCTTAAATCCGTCTAAATGCCAAACAGTCAATTTCACCTTTAGGCATTAATCTGACCTATACAAACTGGTTACCACTCACGAGGTCTGAAACATAGATGGCACTGAAATGGAGACCAAGTCGGAAATTAAATACCTAGGCGTCATTCTATCTGCTGTTCTTTCTTGGTCGTCTCATATCTTGATGATTTCTAAGAAAATATTCCGTCTAACCTTCTACATCAAGAAGTTAAGACATTCTGGTATAACCCAAACCAACCCTTACTCCTACGATTTGTTAACTCTTGCATCCTGCCTATTATTCTCTATTGTTCACCCTTAGTTATTCCAGGGCTGGCTACTGAAGAAAGACTTCGCCTTATTACGCAAGATGTTAAAGGTTGTCAGCAGGGTAAGCAACGTGCCACTTAACCAGCTTGTCAATATTCTGGTTGACAGGCATTTGGACTCATGTGAAAAATGGGCTAAATCCATTTTATCTAACTGACAACACCCTCTTCATTCACAACTCTCCCCTTGTATCTCATCAGACAAGCAGACCAGAAGCCTACATAGAAAACTGTATGCTCGCACTAGCAAGTACAAAAACTCAACTTTACTGTACTTAGCTCGTGTTCTGTGCGATGAAGAAAGCATTAGGCGTGATACCTATAACTTATTAAATAGTCAGTAGAACAACTGGATCTCGTCTTTCCAACTCCTCATATCATTGATAGGTATAACGCTTTCTTTCTTTCTTTTCCTTTTCTCTCTCTCTTTTTCTTCTTTGTTATGTGCTGCTTTGTTTCTTTCTTCCTTACAAACTCTACTTAAAACATTCTTCTTCGTTGTCTCACACTGTGTATATCTCGACCTTTGTGTTATCGCTTACGCCAGTAAATATGCTAGTAGTATCTACTTTTCTAACATCTTCAAACATTCTGTTCACTTTTGGCTTTGCTACTGACATGCTAATCTGTTGTTGTCAAAACTAACCGAGATTACCCTTAATTTATGTAGAATTTTACTTATTGTTAATGTACTAACTGGATGCAATACTGTATGTAGTGAAATGCTGAGAATTCCATTCCGTATCACAAGTACTGTTTTGGAATAAAGCAAATTATTATTATTAAAGAAGTTGGAATTCATAAGTTGGTCATTGGTTTGGGTCCTAGTGGCTGGAGTGGTTTACAAGCTTGCCTTGTAACCAAAAAATGCTGGGTTCCGAACCATAGCGGTGAGTGCGTAGTGTTGAGGACTCCCAACCGGGGATGAAACAGCTGTGTCCAGTACTCTCTGTAGGTTCTCTAACTGATGTCAACTTGTGGTTAAACTGACTGGTATCAAGTGTTGGTTTGTAGGGATTTGATTGGTTACAGGATTTCATCATGAACTGATATCGGTTAGAGAACCATTGGAAAACCTGGGAGTACTGGACAGTTGTTTCGTCCTAGTTTGAGACTTTTCACCAGCACGCACCCACTACCAGGGTTCTAACCCAGGACCTTCTGGTTACAAGGCTAGCGAGCTCGTATACCATTAAGTCACCGGGACCTGCTCCAGTGGCCCATGAATTCTAACTTCTGCCAGTTCACGACATAGCACGACCTCTAGCCAATGTCATCACAGGCAAGTATTTGTCCTCATACCCGACCTGCTGCACCCTAATGGTCACGACTTCTCACTAGAACCCCGGGTAACTACCTACATGAATAGGGCAAGTCGCTAGTGAGCATCTCATTGATATCCAATTATTGGTTTATAGGGATTTGGTTGATTGGTTACAGGATTTCATCATGAGCTGACATTAGGTAGAGAATGTCATGAATTGGCGGAAGTTAGAATTCATGGGCCATTGGAGCAGGTCCCAGTGGCTTAATGGTGTACGAGCTCGCCTGGTAACCAGAAGGCCATGGGTTCGAATCCCGGTGGGTGCGTACTGATGACGAGTCCCAAACTAGTGGGGCGAAACAGCTGTCCAGTACTCCCTGCAGGTTTTCCAATGATTCTCTAACTAGCTGCCTTTGATCATAGGTGCCTGCGTTCTATTTCCCGTGTAAAGTGGCATAATAAGGTGAGCACATTTGTACAAAGTTCTATGTCGAAAACAGACAGACAGACAGAGCAACATGGAGGTTAGGCGTAGAGTTCTAGGTAAACAGGGGAAATCAATCGACGAAGTCGTGAAGCTACATCGACTGAGATGGTTAGGACATGTGTTACGTATGCCAAGTCATCGCCTCCCTCGACGAGCTATGTTAGCGGATATAGGGTCAGGCTGGAAAAAAGCTAGCGGCGGTCAAACAAAAACTTGGCATCAGTCAATGAAATCCACAACAGTTGGTCTTAGCCACGTAGGAAGGTGTAGACTTCCAGGCTGGGGTCCTCGGGACGGTAAAAACAAATGGTTGGAAACAATTGGTGACATGGCTCAAAACCGTTCTCAGTGGCGCAGATGCATCCACTCCTTGTGACTTATGATCTCCAATGAAACTGTTTTGTATTTGTTTATTACTCCTTTGTCTCACACCTCTGCTCACTGTTTCTATTATGCTTTTCTTGTACTTTCTTCTCTTGCTTCGCGTGCTTCACGGAATGTGGCGACTTGAACTGCCACACATTTGTGCAAAGTTCTATGTCGAAAACAGACAGACAGACAATGATTCTCTAACTAATGTCAGTTCATGATTAGTATCAGTTGGAGAACCACTGAAAACCAGTAGGGAGTAGTACTCGATAGCTGTTCTGCTCTAGTCTGCAAGTAGTTCAACACACACACACACACGCACACAACATAGGGATGAATAGCCAAAGCAAGGTACAACATCACTGTATAAAGTGCTGTTGTTTGGTACTGATACCTTAGAGAAATATAAACCGTCTTCTTTGCGATCTACTTTCGCAGAACTACAGCAATTCAAGTAACCATATTCCTTATAAAACACAAAAAAGGAAAAAAATTTACACTAGACAGAAATGTGCAGTTATTGGTTCTCAGTGTCCTCCTTACCCTGGATAGGCAGTTTACACTTGCTTAAGTAGCTTAAACCAACTGTTAAATACTTCAGGGATCAGTAATACCTTAATTCTTTCCCAATGCTATCTATCTTATGTCAGTCAACATTGCTGATCGAGGAAGGTGGCGGCTTCTGCTAACCATTTCAGTCGCTGTAACTCTACAACCTTATCGATTGATTGTCCCTCTTTACGCGTAACACGAGGGATTACCAGACTTGTAAAAACAGATGACTCGACATTTTAATTATATTGAAATGATAGAGAAGATTTTTAGCTCAGGTGGATGATTCGCAATTAATAGTATTCTCTGGGCTGGTTGGTTTAGTTGCGAGGCTTTCGTCGTCCTTCTGGACAACATCTTCAGCGCAATTTTTAGTATAAAGTTAAATGATTTAAATTTTCCATGAGCGATAGAATTGTGTCTCCCGGTAACCATCTTTACATATGTATTGACCATTTTCTACTGACTCAGATTTTAAACTTTCTGGTCACATGATCTACTTTTTATTAGTTGGTATATTTGATCTATATTAACGTGTTTGTTAATTGCATTTTCGTTTGAGTACCAGGCTTCTAGGAATTCCCTGACTGCACTTTTGGTGTTTTCTCTGTTGTATGAACTGTAATAGGCATTACACCGGCCATAGTGAGCGTCTCCCTCGAATTAGAATCCAAGAACACAAATCAGCCGTAAAAAGACATGATATATATTCTTTCATATCAATGCACATAGGCAATTATGGACACCAGTTTGATTGGGATAATGTCAAAATCTTAGACAGAGGCAACACCAAAAGTGCAGTCAGGGAATTCCTAGAAGCTTGGTACTCAAACGAATATGCAATTGGCAAACACGTTGATATAGATCAAGTTTACCAACTAATGAAAAGTAGATCATGTGGCGGGAAAGATTAAAATCCAAGTCAATAGAAAGTGGTTAATACATATGTAAAGATGGTTACCGGGAGACGCAATTCTATCACTCATGGAAAATTTAAATCATTTCACTTTTTGCTAATTATTGCGCTGAAGATGTTGTCCAGAAGGACGACGAAAGCTCCGCAACTAAACCAACCAGCTCAGAGAACACTATTAATTGCAAATTTAAATGATATGACAAGAAGCTTTTAGAGGCTGTTTGGATGGATTTAAGCCCTTTTTCGCCTTATCAATAATATCACTTTTTTCCTTTTCACCTTCATGAAATTTATGTTGACATTGTTAGCACATTTTTGTCTTCTGTTTTATTGCTTTCTATGCGATGTAAACCGATGTGGAGTGTTAATTGAGTAATTTCAGATCATATTATTAATGATAGACGACCTGGTACTGGCTTAGGGTGGGTAGTAGACTTCGGTTTTCCTCTCAGAATATGCTCTCTCATGAGGGCCAGGATATCCATAGCCCGTCTGCCAGATAAATCCTATCCACTGGCTTCATTCGATAAAAGTGTTTCTCATTAAAGTGAAATTTTGAGTGTGAACGTCTGGTTGACGACGTGCTGGTGGTCAACCTAAGTTGGCTAGCTGGACATCAATCCCACCGCTTAAAAATATGCATATATAATATGTCCAGGGTTCTAACTCAGGAGCTTCTGGTTGCAAGGCTAGCGAGTTCGTATACCATTAAGCCACTGGGACTCTATCCAATGGCAACTCCATGAATTCTGACTTCTGTTAATTCATGCATAGCGTGACCACTTCGCAATGTCTTTTTCAATGAGTTACTGCCTCATCTTCAACCTGATGTACCCTACTGGTCACGGCTTCCCACTAGAACGTAACTGTGTGAATACGACCAGTTGGTAGCTAGTGAGCATCAGATTAATTTTCAAGCATTGGTTTTGTATGGATTTCTTGTGTGATTGGTTATAGGATTTCACCGGTTACAGAACCATTGGAAAACCTGCAGAGAGTACTGGACGACAGCTGTTCCGTCAGCCTAGTTTGGAACTCTTCGGCAGTACGCATGAACCATTGGATCGGGTCCCTGTAATTTAATGATCTACGAGCTTGCTAGCTTTGTAACCAGAAGTTCCTGGGTTCAAACCCTGGCAGTGGATGCGTGCTGGTGGAAGAGTCCCTAACTAGGCCGACAAAACAGCCGTCCAGTTCTTCCAGTTGGTTTTCCAATGCTTCTCTAACCGATATCAGTTCATGATGAAATCCTGTAACTAATATTTCTTTAATTATTACTGTCATACATGTGTAGAATCTGATGAAGAGGAATTTGTTGAGAAGAATATTGATTGTTTATTGATTAGTTATTTAGATTATTGTTCAATATCCGAGTGAATTTATTAATTTTGCATTGTATAGTGTTGTTGTCTTTCCCTCCCCCCTCTCTCTCTCTCTTTTCCTTAACAGATCAGAATCAGTAGATTTGGGAGGAGTCAGTGGAGCAGGACCAACAACAACAACAACCACAACAACAGCAGCTGGAGGGAGTGGTAGTGCCGGCGTCGGCGGTGGTACCGCTTTCTTAGGCAATAGTAATGGTGTAAAAGTCAACCTGACTACCAGTCAAATGGCAAGTTTACTGCCTATTCGTAGCACAGAGAATAACATAGTCAATCGTTTCTTTTCACCAATTGAATCGTTAACAAATAATAATAATAATAATAACAATAATATCAATGATGTAAGAGATCAAATCTATCCACCCGTGTTAGTAATCGGTACAAAACTCGATCTCCTTTGTCCGCGTAGTCTGAGATCATTGCGTAGAGTTACTTCACGTTTTGACGAAGCATCCGCATTGTCTTCGTATATGTTGTTGTCATCAAGTCATCATCATCAGCAGTATCATCGTGGTGACGCCGTGTCATCTGATAATAACTACTGTTATCCAAATATTATGATGACGCCTAGATCGTGTATCTCATCTGTACAGTTTTTTGAAGATACACCACAATCGTCAGTATCATCAGCTTCGGTAGCTGCCGCCTCCTCATGGAATTCAACATATCATCAACATCATCAACAGCAACTGACTACAGCATCGATGCCATTGTCAAGCTTTCAACACCAGTCACAAAATCAAAGTGTTTATGTCGATTTAAGTGATAGTCGTTTATCGTCAACTGTATTATCAAATGATTGTAATAATAAAGTATGGAACTTTGCTGCGGAACAAGGTTTTTCAGAAATTCTACTGGTAAGATTTTTTAAATGTTTTTTTTTTTGACTTTGGCTTTGAGTTTTTAACTACAAATGGAAGTATTGAGAACCACCAAGGGGTACAGGATGAACTGTAAGTATGGTATGTGCTTTTTGCCGCCTGAGTGCACAGTACTGTTACAAGATTGGCAGGAGCTGCCTGTACCTGCATTCACTCTGACGGGTGAAGAACCGTGTGAAGTTGTTAGTAATTTTGTGTATCTGGCTGGGATAGTTGCGTGCGTATTAGAGTGGGAGTTGGACGTGATGGATGAGATTTTCAACTGTATCAAGAAAGCTAGGGTGGCATACGTCAACTTAAGCCACCTATGGTGCCATTGAGAGAACGGTTTTGAGCTATGTCTCCAACAGTCTCCAGGCACTGATTCTTAGCATCCTGAAAATTCCAACCAGGAAGTCCCCATCTCCCTACATGGCTAGCTCAAACCGACAGCCAGGATTGTTATGGATTGATTCGAGGTTTTTGTTTGGCCACCTCTGATTCTTTTTCAACGTAATCTCTTGTTAGCTAACATTGTACGGACAGAAGACAAGGCCAGCCAGGCAACAGATAGTTTATTGAGAAAATCAAGAGATACTTATAGATTTCTATGTACAGTATTATTGGCGTTATTGTTAGTGGAGAAATAATGTCTTCTGATTGGTTGTTTTTCTGCTGAAGGTTATTCTGTCATCTCTGTGTGTCCATTTCTTTGAAGGTGAGACCATATATCTGCGATTCGTGTCTGTCCACGCAAAGTCTGCTATGATTGGTTGTTGAGTTAGTCTTTGTTCTTGTTCTTTTCCCATGACCAGGATTTGGGGCGTAACATTGACGTAAACTGCTGTCTACTAATTTTGGCTTGTTCTCAGCCAGCTCTCACCACAACATCACCTATTGAAGAAAGAGATGATTTATCATGCTTAACGCGTGTTCCAGATGTCTTAATGGATGTAACTTGAAAAGCTCATTCATTAATTAACGTACCCTGCTTACCTAACACCCTACACATAACCTCAGCATAACTCTCACCATATTATAACTTCTTAGCACAAGAGAGAAAACGCTAACCGTCTTTGGTCAAAGACTGCTAGCCTTTTCATATCTTCCACTTTGTCACAGGCATAAAGGAGGATGGAGCGTACTGCTTTGCAGTACATACGTCGTTTAACTGGGGACAGGTGGGTACCACACCTTCGCTAGAGATGATGTAGGTTGGTAAATACAGCACTACCGCCTTTTGTATCCGTATCCAGTTTTGGTCAGCAATCAATCCATTGGGGCCGATTTAACCTCTTAAAAAGGAGAAGACATTACGTTTGCCGACTTCACTGTTTGCGTTTAAGCTAGGAGTCAGTATAGTCCCACTCTGCAGCATTTACCTTACATTTGGCAAGGACGTATCTCATTCCCAAGGTGTTCGTTGCCAAAAGACTTTGTTTCCTGTCAGTTTTTTAAACTGGCATGCAAGACGCTTTTAACTGGAAATATCTTACTTCTGTTATATGCCTTATTCCCCAGTGGTAAAACTCCTCGCATAGACCTCCACTATTGTATAAATAACTTACACATTATAAGTAGTAAGTTGTTTTAGTCTAACCCAGTGATCCAAACGACTTTTCTGGCATGGTAGGACCTTCAGGAACACTAGTTCCAGTCAATGTAGTTCGTTGACTCATTGCCATATGTGTACGTGACCAACAGCATGACAAGACTGTAGTGCAACAGCAGAAGATAGGAGAATAATGATAATAATTTGCTTTATTCCAAAACAGTACTTGTGATACGGAATGGAATTCTCAGCATTTCACTACATACAGTATTGCATCCAGTTAGTACATTAACAATAAATAAAATTCTATATAGATTATAGGTAATCTCGGTTAGTTTTGACAACAACAGATTAGCATGTCAGTAGCAAAGTCAAAATTGAACAGAATGTTTGAAGATGTTAGAAAAGTAGATACTACTAGCATATTTACTGGCGTAAGCGATAACACAAAGGTCGAGATATACAGAGTGTGAGACAACAAAGAAGAATGTTTTAAGTAGAGTTTGTAAGGAAGAAAGAAACGAAGCAGCACATAACAGAGAAGAAAAAGAGAGAGAGAAAAGGAAAAGAAAGAAAGAAAGCGTTATACCTATCAATGATATGAGGAGTTGGAAAGACGAGATCCAGTTGTTCTACTGACTATTTAATAAGTTATAGGTATCACGCCTAATGCTTTCTTCATCGCACAGAACACGAGCTAAGTACAGTAAAGTTGAGTTTTTGTACTTGCTAGTGCGAGCATACAGTTTTCTATAGAAGCCTCTGGTCTGCTTGTCTGATGAGATACAAGAGGAGAGTTGTGAATGAAGAGGGTGTTGTTAGTTAGATAAAATGGATTTAGCCCATTTTTCACGTGAGTCCAAATGCCTGTCAACCAGAATATTGACAAGCTGGTTAAGTGGCACGTTGCTTACCCTGCTGACAACCTTTAACATCTTGCGTAATAAGGCGAAGTCTTTCTTCAGTAGCCAGCCCTGGAATAACTAAGGGGGAACAATAGAGAATAATAGGCAGGATGCAAGAGTTAACAAATCGTAGGAGTAAGGGTTGGTTTGGGTTATACCAGAATGTCTTAACTTCTTGATGTAGAAGGTTAGACGGAATATTTTCTTAGAAATCATCAAGATATGAGACGACCAAGAAAGAACAGCAGATAGAATGACGCCTAGGTATTTAATTTCCGACTTGGTCTCCATTTCAGTGCCATCTATGTTTCAGACCTCGTGAGTGGTAACCGATTTGTTTAGGTCATATTTATGCCTAAAGGTGAAATTGACTGTTTGACATTTAGAGGGATTTAAGGTAAGATCGTTTTCCTTGGACCATTGGCTGATTTCTGATAAAAAGTCATTTAGTTTGGAGCAGTCACTTTGATATTTGACAGGCGAAAAGACAATCAGATCGTCAGCATATTTAACAAAATTAGTGTTATTTGAAGATGGTAGGTCATGTAGAAAGAAAGAAAGAAAGAAAGGAAAGGGAATTGGGGACATCAGCTTCAGTGAGCACAGCAGAGGAGGATTTACCTTTATATGCAGTGTACTGCATTCTGTTTGAGAAGTAGGAATGCAACCAGTTACTGAGTCAGGACTTATTTTGTGTCACAGAGAGCTTATTTAGCAAGATACATCTAGGTACAGAGTCAAAAGCAAATGTGAAGTCGCGAAACGTGCAACGAACGTATTTGGCACCTTTATGTAAAACGGCGTCTAAAGTGCTCCTACCCTGTCTATGTGCAAATTATTCGGGGTCTTCAAAGCTTTTAAGGGAGGGTTCAAGTTTAAGAAGTACTAGTTTTTCTATCAGTTTTAGAGACGGGGAAGTAAATTGGTAACAGACCTTCAATAGTGGAAAAAAACATCATATTTATGCATTCTTAGTCCCATTAAATTTCGGCTAGGTACGAGGAGGACACATTTTTTCTGATTGGTTGGTTGGAACTTGGCGCAAGGTTATTTGATGTCCACGGCATCAACGTAAACTAAATCCAGATTTGAGGAGGAATAAAGACTTCTACTTGCTCAGTCAGTCGTTGAATTTAAATGCTGGTTTCTGTTTTGACCGCTTCCTATCACAACAATCTGCATTATGCAACAGTAACTATCGGTTGAATTGTGGTATGGGGTCATGTTTCAGTGACTTTTAGTCGTTTCTTATCAGTTTCTCGCCAACGTGTTCTAATGTTTATTCCATATAATTCTAATATACCTTTTGTCATTTCACTTCTTCGCAGAACTGTAATTCAATCGCCAGTGTAAGTCCTGGTAGTCCACAGGAGGCTGTGCTGGATCGATTTTTTAACGAAGTAAGTTCTACACACTTTTAAATGTCTGTATATGTAATTTTGTAAAATGTACTAGTGTAGAGAATTTTTTTATTACCGTTGCTTCTGTGGAGTTTGAAGAAGTTTGATTCGTACTTCTGTTTTAGCCAGATTCCCACATATTCTGTAGATAAGTTTAAAGTTCCTTTGTGGGTTTGTTAGCTTGGTGTCCAGATTCGATCAGGTGTTCCAGGATATAGAGATGTGGCGTGGGGGTATCGTTTTTCTCCTTTATAAAACCATTACTATGGGCAAGTGTTCGATGATACGTTTGGATAGCGAACGCTAACAGGTGAAGCAGGTAAATCGGTAGATGCCTATTGATGAGGCTGGCCAACAGTGACAGCTTATCCTTCACAGTGTTCATGCTAATCATTGGTTTCGTAGAGAAAGTTAGTGGAAGTGTAGCCACGAAGAAGGTTTTTTTCACTGAACGAATTTGGTGGCTTCTTAGTATTTCTACCGATGAGTCTCCATTGAATTGTAGATTCAAGTAGAGAAGTTTTTCGAGAGCATAGAATTAATTAGGTCAAGTTCTGAGATATTTTTGTGGTTACAGGATTTCATCATGAGCTGGTATAATAGGTTAGAGAACCATTGAAACACCTGCAGGGATTACTGGAGCGCCGTTTTGTCCTAGTTTGGGACTCTTCATCAGTACTCACCCATCGGGATTCGAACTCAGAGCTTTCTGGTGGCAATGCTAGCGAGATCGTAGACCATTAAGCCACTGGGACGCGATCCACTGTCCAGTCCATGAATTCTAACCTCTGCCAATTCACAACATAACGCGACCGCTAGCCAATGTCTTTAGCGAATATTTATTCACACACCCGATCTGCTGTACCCTACTGGTCACGTTTTCCCTATAGAACCCCACCCAGGTAACTGCCTGGATAGGGCCTGTCACTATCTATTGAGCATCAGATTAATTATCAAGTATTGGTTTTCTAGGGATTTTATTTGATTGGTTACAGGATTTCATCATAGGCTGATATTACAAGGCATAGTCATAATGAAATCTTCCAACCAATCAAAAAAAATCCCTACAAAATCAATTCTGAGATATTTGTTGAATTTTTTTAGAATATTTCCAATGGAAGTTAGAACGGTTACCGAGAAAAATTTATCGATAAGGATATGTATCAAAAGTTAGAGTCAGGCCAAGGTACCAACAGTTCCGAATAAGGAAAGCCTTATTCTTACCAATCCACTTCTTCGGGGATATCATCAGCGAGATATTAGCAGAATGCCTAAGGAATGCGGTAAAAAATAGCATTCAGTGCTGCTGAATTACGCTGTGTCTTCAAAACTGCCGCTATTTTGCCTTCGGAAGTAAAAGAGAAACTGCCTAATTCCGCCTCTTCTATGTGTATCTACCAATTTGACTGCTCCTGTGGAGTGAGCCAGTTAGTTGCATAGACCGTACAATTAGGCGTGTTTGTCATAGGATTTCCGAAGATCACCTTGCTTGCTTGATTAGGTAAGGGACAAACAAAATCCAGTCACATAGCGCTATCCTATTTCATCTTGTGGCTGCAGAACACAAAAATTGATGTCAACGAGGTAGCTTTCAAAGTCATCTACCGCATACCAACTAATCTTAACTCCGCTTTAAGAGTTCGTCTACTACATATTGCTGACTCTGGCTTTTGGGATCTACATTAAGAAAACTAACTCATGTATCCAAAAGAGGTTGGTTGGTTGGTTCAGACACTGTCCCCTTACATTGGTTGTCAATCAAGGATTTAATCCTCTTCAAATTGTTGTGGAAATTTCCTCAAGTTGTATCTGATATTCTATTTACTATTACGTTTTTAAGCTTATTATGGCTTAAGCGTCTTTATGGATAAAATTTTATTTTGATAAAGTCACACAGTGTTGTTTTACAGTAAGTAATATTTACTGATGACCACGTTTCGGGCAATTTACGCCTGCTCATAATCATATCAAGGCACAACTCACTCACACAACTTTTTCCTTCATTTATATACATGAGGGGAATTGATGATTAGACATTTGAATACAAAATCAACATAGGATAATGTACATTCAGAAATAATAATATCCAGGGTTGGGGCCCTCGGGACTCTAGGAATCAATGGCTGGAGACAATAGGTGACATGGCTCAAAATCGTTGTCAATGGCCAGCGCAGATGTATTCAGTCTCTGTAATCTTTCATATTCCTTTCTACCATTACCCATTCTGTTTCACTCTTATACTTGTCAGACTATTGATTCTCTCCACTCATCTTCTTGTCTACCTCTGTGTGCTATTTGGAACGTGGCAACTCGAACTGCTGCACTTCGGTGCCAAGTTCTATGTTGAATCCAGACAGACAATCAAGTATAATCAGATGGGAAATAAGATGAGTGTTTTTATAGTCAAAATAAGTAACTTGTAAGAATGTTGTGATATGTTTGAATTGAAATAGAATTTTAAGATTAGTCATTATCCTCCTCTGATATAACTGAGTGGTGGTAGTAATACCTTCCATATCTCTGGTATTTGTATTGAGTCATTTCTGTTGCATTTGTTGGATGTAGACTCACTCGAAGAACCAGGATTCAGTAATCAACCTCTCTCTCCACCTACATAGAGATTACTTCTTAGAATTTTGACTCTGTCCCGCCCACCCTATTGTGTGATTGTGTGTTAATGCATACAGTGCAATTGTTGAGATTTTTCCTAAATTACTTATCTTCGTAGGTGTGGGGTCAATCATTCTAACCTTAATTAAAACCTTATGTTCTGACCATGTGACTAGCCCTGATCTACTAGTTTGATCTGTATAGTTGACCTTAGTTACAGTCATTGCAAGGTATTTTGTAGATTATATTATTTAGCTAAATTTGAAGGTCAACCTATTAGGTCGTTTAACCTACAAAGCTTGTCCTACCTGAGTGAGTTTGTACGGGGGGGGGGGGTTAAATGCCTCCCTATTTCCTGCTTTATTAAGAATCCTACGTAGAGAGGGTCGTAGATGCCCTCTCCTTATCTGGTAAAATTGTAGGTGCCTTTTTTTATTCGCCATTACTTTTATTTTGAGCTTTTTTTTATATTTCTAATGAATTTTCCAGGATAGTTAGTTATTTAACACCAACCAGCTGTTCTTCTAGCTGTTTCATTTCGTCGTTTCGGTTTTTTGTTGTACTACTGAGTCTGTCTCGCGCGCGCATTTCGGATTGTGAGGGCGATTGTTACTTCCCGGCTGCCCACACCGTGGAAGTTGGTTGCGTGACAGCAGAGCCCGGGGGACAACTGCTTGGGGCCGGTCACACGCGGCCTGTTTTTGTTTGTTCTCTTTTGTTTGGTGTGCCTCAGTAGCATATTTATCACTCCTGCCCTGTGACACGGCAGCAGGAAGCGCGGTCGTTGTTAATCCGGGCCACGGCCGATCCGGCATGAAATTTTGTGATTTTGTATTTATCATGATGTTGGATTGGGTAGCTGCTTTTTGTTTAACCGCTATCTAAATCACCTGCCTGGTATGGTAGGACCTCAAGAGACATAAGTCTCAGCCAGTATAGCTTGAATAGAACATTGCGGTGTTCAAGCCCGACCACCACGTCAAGGTGTAGCAGCTTTCGGTCGGGGTACTACTGAGTGCTATTGCTATTCATGTATGTAAATGAACCAAGAAAGTTGTTTGAGGAGTACCTTGGTGTAATTATGAGTGGAAATAATTTGTGCTCAAAACGTGGTTATCAGTAAATATTACTGTATAACAGTGTATGATTTTATCAAAATAAAATTTTCCCCATAATGAAGTTATACTCTACCACAGTGCACAAGTTTTATCCTTAGGTGTCTTTCTTGAACTGTAATTCCATTGTGATCTTACCTAACAAATCGATATTATTTTAAAAAGCACTAATATTGTCATTGACGAGACTATTCTAGAATATTCTATGTATATAAACATATGGATATAATTGTAGTGCCAGAAAAGGGGGAAATTATTGACAGGGATATTCTTTGCTCAATTATTTTGTGTTTTGTAAATGTCTGAATGAATATTTTTGCTACATTTCATTTCAATATTGCGAAAATATTCATTCAGACATTTACAAAACACAAAATAATTGAGCAAAGAATATCCTTTTCGATGATATCCCCTTATGGCTCTACAATTATATATGCGTGTTTATATACATAGAATATTCTAGAATAGTAGTCAATAACAATATTTGTGGTTTTTAAATAATATCGATTTGTGAAGTAAGATCACAATGGAATTACAGTTCATTAAAGATGCTTAAATCATAATAAGCATAAAAATGTAATAGTAAATAGAATATCAACTAAAATTAGAAAAATTCCACAAAAATTTGAAGATCATTCAAACCTGGATGGCTAAGGTAAGGATAATGTCTGAACTAACTTCTTTTGGATTCAAAAGTTAGTCTTCTTAATGTAGATCCCAACAACCAGCATCAGCAATATTTAGTAGTCGAACTCTTAAGGCGAATTACAGATTTGTTGGTATGCGATAAATGACTTTGAAAGCTACCTCGTTGACATCAATCTTGTGTTCTGCATCCATGAGATGAGATAGAATAGAACCATGAATGGATTTCTTTTGTCCTTTACCGAACCACGCAGGGTGACGTTCAGAAATCCTATGAGAAACACGCCCAATTGTACGGTCTATGCAACTAACTGGCTCACTCCACAGAAGCAGTCAAATTAGTAGATACACATAGAAGAGGCGGAATTAGGCAGTTTATCTTTTACTCCCAAACGCAAAAGAGAAGAAGTGGTTTTGAAGACACAAGGTAATTCGGCAGCAAGGAATGCCCTTTTTACTATATTTCTAAGGCGTTGTGGTAGTATCTCGGTGATGTTGTCTTCAAGGAACTGCATCTGTAAGAATAAGGCCTTTTTTGGATCCGTTGGTAACTTAGGCTGCTTTGATTTTAGATTCATATTCTTATCAATAAACTTTTCTGGATAACCGTTTTCACTGAGCAACCGTTTAATATTATTAAGTTCCTCATCAATACATTCATTCGGGCAGATTGCTCTTGCCCTGTGAAACAAGCACTTTATCAGATTGCGTTTATATTTCAAGGGCACGAAGCTGAAAAAATGATTATGTTGACGAGTTGATGTATACACTTCTTATTGTGCCATTCTCTTTTCTGGTTATAAAGACGTCTAGAAATGAAATACTAGAGTCTTTTTCAGTAGTAAAATTTATTGCAGGATGAACATCGTTAAATTTGTCGACAAGGATGTCCTTTGCTTCATCCTCACTTTTCATATTCAAAAATGCATCATCCATGTACCGCCGATAGAATTCAAGTTGATTAACAACACCCTTCAAAGGCCCATTTTCTAGTTTCGGAAGGAAAATGTCAGGTAGAATGGATATTAGTGATGACCCCATTGACACACCGTCGATTTGTCTATATAGTTCCTTATTATAAATAAAAAGTAGACATTCATTGTACGTTTCAAGAGAAGCTCTTTCATAAAAGATATAGGAATACCAACATCGATGTTTCGTCGTCTTATTAGTTCTTTGCATACAAAGTCCACTGTTTCCATAAATCGTACGCATTGGTGAATAAGGAAGATACGTCACATGATATCATGAATTTATTGTCAACATGTTCCACCGCAATACCCTGATTCATTTTCACTCTTTGTTGGAAATCGATCTCTCCTCTTTTTGATATTTTTGTGCAGGTCAGTGTGTCTTTATATCATTATTTCCTTTAATTCCTAGAGGTGTAACAACAGAAGACAAGGGCCAGGCAACAGATCGTTTTATTATGAAAATCAACACGTATTTATACATCTTTCAACTACATTATTATAGACAAGCGCAGTCATCTGATTGGTTGTTTAGGTAGACAAACGCAGGCTTCTGATTGGTTGTTTCGGGATTCCTTGACAAATAGAGTTCTCTCTGCGAATCATATTTTGCCACGTTAACTTTGCTGTGATTGGTTGTTGACTCAGGCTTGTTCATATTTTCTCACGGCCCATATTAGTGACCTAGACCTTAACGTAGATTAGTGCCAACCAATCGGCTAGCAGCCTGCTCTCACCACACTCGTCCCCCCGTCAAATACGTGCGACTGAAGTCGGCTTGATCTACTTGGTGCAGGCGTCATCGTTGGCTTGTCTCGCTGTATCCATTTCTGGAGCTCGCTGACGTTCACGCGCCTCTTATTGTTCGTCATTGCGACTGTGTCTGCGTAACCCCATCTCGAAGTGACCATATATGGTCCTTCCCACTTTGAAAACTGTTTGCCTGACCCTGTCGAACATTCGTCCATACTTCGGCTCACACTTTCATATGCTGCTTTCACCCGACCTCCCAGCAGCGTCCCAAGTAGCAGCTCCATCGCTGACAGATCTTGAACGCCACTCAACTGCGCAGAAGCCTTGAAGTCCTGCCCGAAGATCCATATGTCTCCATCGAAAACAGCAGGGCATAGGCTTTCCATTTGTCGGTAGGCAGCGACACCAAATGTAACAACAGAAGACAAGGGCCAGGCAACAGATCGTTTTATTATGAAAATCAACACGTATTTATACATCTTTCAACTACATTATTATAGACAAGCGCAGTCATCTGATTGGTTGTTTAGGTAGACAAACGCAGGCTTCTGATTGGTTGTTTCGGGATTCCTTGACAAATAGAGTTCTCTCTGCGAATCATATTTTGCCACGTTAACTTTGCTGTGATTGGTTGTTGACTCAGGCTTGTTCATATTTTCTCACGGCCCATATTAGTGACCTAGACCTTAACGTAGATTAGTGCCAACCAATCGGCTAGCAGCCTGCTCCCACCACAGAGGAACATAGGGTTTCAGCCGCCCGTCTCCACTGCGTTCGGTTCTCTGCTAGAGTTTTCACCTGGCTCTAAGTCTCATCTCCTTTTCACATGACCTCCTCCAAGTCGTCCTTGGACGGTCAACTTGCCGCTTTGCTTCCGGGTTCCACTTGAGCAATGGCTTGTCTAGTGAGGTTGCTTGGTGGTTTCCTTAGAGTATGACCACCAATCCACCTCCATTTCTTCCTGCTTATTTGTTGCACAATCGGTTCCTGGTTGGTTCACTCACAGAGATCTCTGTTGCTGATCTTTTCTGGCCGGCTATCCTATCTTGATCAGAACTGAGGGAAGACAGCTGTTGATGAAGATCTGTAGTTTGTTCGAGGTGCTCTTCATGACGCGACAAGTCTTTGATCTATAAAGCAGCACTGACTTCACATTGGAGTTGAAAATCCGGATCTTATTTTTCATGCTGAGTGCTGTTGACCTCTACACAGACTTGAGAGTAATGAAGGTTGTCTTGCTTTCCCGATCCTTGCTTTGATACCCTCATCAATTCCGCTGGCCTGTAATTGAAACGATGCTTCCCAGGTAGGTGGGCAGGTGAAGGAGGTTGTTTCTTTCAGGTTCCTCTCATTTATGCTGATTGTTGTTGCTGTTGTTGTTGGCCAGGAATCTTCATCACTTCAATTTTATCTATGTTTACTTAAACTCCTTCCTACCTTTGATGCTTCTTGTGCCAACTTGTTGCTTTTCATCACTTGCATATGTTCCAGTTTGTGGGAAATCAGACATATATCATCGGCGAAGTCCAGATCCTCCAAGTTTTTGTGTGAGTTCATTTTATGCCTGTTTCCTCATTTCCCGTTGTCTGTCGCGTTATCCAATCTACTGCAATCAGGAAAATCATTGGCGATAGTAGACAGCCTTGCCTCACTCCCGTCTTCATTTCGAAGGATTCCGTGGGTTTCCCATTGTGGATTATTTGGCATGCGCACCGTTATTGTACAACTGTTGGATGAGATGTATAATTGTCGATGGGACCCCTCGGTAGTAGCGAAGTAGTTACCAAATCACCTCTTGATCCACACTGCGCTGTCGAAGGCTTTTTCAAGGTCAATGAAGTTGAGATAAAGAGATGTGTGATCGCCATTCCAAGCTTTGTTCAATGATGATCGATAGTGTGTGTCGTTATATACTACTAATAAATCTTATCAGTAGCATATGCCACACATTTATAAATAGTTTGTATCAGAGACTTTTTCTATTGTTTTTGTTTTTCTTCTATTTCTCCAGGTGATCAACTATAAAATGTTGTCAATGTCGATGAATTGTAATTTATCCTCACCAGATCTATCTCGAACGAGACGACGCCTAGTGGATTCACGTGATAATATTAATAATATTGCAGGATCTTTATTCAATTCATATAAATTGAATTGAATTGTATTGAATTCAACGGAAGGAATTCCACTGTATTTTCTTGTATTTATTAGTAGTATATATATCATATGTAAGTAGTATAATTTACTTGTATTATTGACGTATTTGATTTTACACCCCCGCTTAGTTTGTAGCTAGATATGTTTGATATGTTTTAAGTGTGATTAAATCAATTAGAGAAGAACTATTGCAGACTAGAAGAGACACAAAATTGGATGAAGCTGTTTCGTCCTAGTTTGGGACTCTTCTGGAGTAGGACCTAGTCACTGGGGTTCGAACCTCCGCGACCTTCCATTTAGTTACAAGGCAAGCTTCTGTAACCCGTGAATTCTAACTTCTGTAGTTCAGCTACTGTGACTGAGTTTTTTGAGTGGCCTCCACTGTCAGAAAGTTCAAAAACCAGGACTGAAAATAGCTGTTCAGTACTACTTCCGGTTGGTTTTCAATGATTCATTAACCAGTCCCATTCATGTGGGTAGTTACTTGGGTTCACGTTGTGACCAGTGTGGGGTACAGCAAGTCGGGTGTGAGGACAAATACTCACCAGTGATGACATTAGCTAAGTGGTCGCGCCATATGATGAATTAGCAGAAGTTGGGATCCATGGAATGGCCATTGGATCGGGTTCCAGTGGCCTAATGGTCTATGAGCTCTGTAGTCTTGTAACCAGAAGGTCCTGGGTTCGAACTCCGATGGGTTTTTTTTCTTTCACTTTCCTCAGTGGATCATAGGGCTTCAGGATAGAGGCTTGAAGTTTCTGTAGCAGTGTTTATTTTACAGGATGGGGTTGCTAGCCTGATGCCCAACAGTTCCTCTTTACCAGCATTATTTCTGGTTCAGCGAGGTAAAGGAGTGCGTCCAGTGGCATGGGGGATCGAATCCCGGACCATGTGCATGGTCGGCGAGCGTCCTGACCGCTATGCCACCGACGCACCTGATGGTAGGTACGTAATAATGAAGAGTCTCAATCTAGAACAGAACGACTGTCCAGTACTCCCTGGTGTTGGTTTTCCAATGGTTCCCTAACACATGTCAGTTCATGATGAAATCCTGAAACTAATCAAATCCCTGCAAACCAACACTTGAATATGAAGTTAGTCAGTTCATGAGTGATCAAACTGGCTGAGTTATCACTAAGCTGCACCTAAGTGTGACTCATTGGTTACAACGTAGAAATTTGCACCGATGTGTTGCAGTTCGAATCGCCACACTCCATGTAGCACAAAAGGCAAGGGAAGAAGCTAAAAAGAAATGCAAAACCGAGACAGTGAACAGACATACGAGGCAGAAAGAATAGTCATATGGAGGGACTGTATAGTATTATTGGGCATTATAAGTCGCAAGGAGTAGATGTATGTGCGCCAGCCATATCACCGATTTTCTCCAGCTTTCATTGGTTTTACCATCCTGAGGACCCCAGCCAGGAAGTTTACACCTTCCTACATGACTTAAACTAATTGTTTTGGATATCATTAACTGATGAAGACATGCTTTGGTTTAATCACCACTGACTGTTTTCCAACCTGACCCTATGTTAGCTAACATTGCCGTCTAGGAAGGTGATGGATGGCTAGGCATACATGCCCCATGTCCTAACCATCTCAATCGATGTAACTGCACAGTCTCGTCGATTGTTTTCTCCTCCCTACCTAGCACTCGACCAATGCTCAACCTCATTATTGCTCACCTTATTATAGCACTTCCCACGGGAGAGAGAACGCAGACACCTATGATCAGAGACAGCTAGCTAGCTAGCTATATAGCCTTTTCATGTCTTCCACTCTCAATGATCACGTCTCACTCAGGGTGTAGCGGTTGAATTTGTCACACTCCATGTGAAACACGAAAGTAGGCTAAAGGGAGAGTGAAAAGAGTTTAAAAAGTACTGTAATGAGCAGAAAAATGTGAAGGAGAAAGGATAGTAGCAAGGAAAAAAAACATGACAGTTTAATTGATCTTGGAGATCACAAAGAGTGAATGGATCTGCATCAGCCGCTGACAACAACTATACAGCTATACCTCCGATAGTCTCCAGTAATTCGCGTCAAATATAAGATGATACAACGAGACTGGACTAGAATACACCGACTATAAGGTTAAAGATAGAGAGTGAAGTGACTGACAGAGCGTGTTGACCACTTCACTTAATTGGGGAGTTGCATCAGCCAATCACAACGGGTTGATCGCACGGTTACCTAAGACTCGTTTGGCATATGCTTGTCGACTTACTCCGTCTCTGTCTAAGTAGATGTGGTATCCGGTTTTCTGTCGACTAAAGGGTGTGTGTGTGTACTGGTCTGCAACAGTTCACTCTGTCCTCCTTTATGGCTAGCTGTGAGTGAGACATGGTCATATACAGTGGAAGATATGAAAATGCTGGCTAGCTGTCTTTGATCATAGGTGTCTGTCTGCGTTCTCTCTCCTGCTTGAGTTAAGTGGTATAATAAGATGAGCAGTGCTGAGGTTAGAAATCGGTCTATTGGTAGGCTAGGTAAGGAGGGAGTGGAAATCAATCGACGAGGTTAGGATGTTACACCGGTTGAGATGCTTACGAAATATGTTACGCATGCTCAGCCACCGCCTTCTCCGACAACGGGCGATATTAGCTGTAACCATCATTCTAGGTGGCTCACTATCACGGTGCACTTTAAATTGCGTCGGTGGCACGGCGGTTATGGCTCAGGCCGATCATACACATGATCCGGGGTTCGATCCCCTGCTGACGCACACCTGATATCTATGGTCGGCCCGCAAAATTTGGGCTACCGATATCACATGCTGAAAATTCCATACCTGTACCAAAAAATACAATGTGGAAACAAGCAGTAGTCAAAAAATATTGTTGATAATAGATGGTTGAAGACAATCAGCAGGTAGCCTTGAACCTATGTTTCATGCTAGTTTGAATTCACCAGTCCACAAGGCGTATATCTGCAAGCTTGAAGGGATTCATGTTCCTTCTGAAATTCGAACCCGCATCACCCAGTGCTAGCTGCAGTCAGAGGCGTTACCGCTGAGCTATTCCACCTTCATACCGATTTCCTCCAACCATCTAATATCAACAATCAAATTTTACAGTCGGTCAGGGTCACCGGATCATAAGATGAGTCATGTTGCGATGACAACTGTCTGCAAGCTGAGATTGTAGACAACAGTTTACGTCAATATTTACCCCTCAAATCAGGCTCATGAGAAAAAACAATGACAGAGCCTAACTTTGAGGAACTCACCAACCAATCACAGCAGACTTAAAGTGTGGAAATACGATTCGCTGATATATGGATTAACTTTCTGAGAAACGGTCACAAGTATTACGGAATGACCTTCAGCGAGAAAACAACCAATCAGAAGACGTTGCTCTTCTGCTAATAATAATGTACATAAAAATCTATAAATATCTGTTAATTTTTTCAATAAACGATCTGTTTCCTGGCTGGCCTTGTCTCCTACTATATGATGAATCACAAGTGTTTTAAACCGATTCTTGTCAAAACCTTGCACACACACCCACACACACAAAACCATTGGATTGATTAACATTCCATTTTCATTTTATCTTACGTCAATATGAACAAATGCCTTACCTTTGTGTTTTTTCTTCTCTGCCTCGCTATTTTTTTTCTTTTTAGCACGTAGTTTACAAAACAGGGTTCCCGAGCTACGCTTTCTTTCTTTGTTGTCTTTCTTTCTCTACAAATGGTCACAGTTGCCAAGCATACTTCGTCAATCTTCATAAGGCATTCCTTCTCCACCACCTCCCGCCACCCATCGTCATCATCACCACCACTTCAAAACACAATGGTGATATTTTTAGCCTGACCAAATCGCGAAGAGACTAGTGGCGTGCAAAAGTACTTTCCAATGAATTCCATCGTTTCACACTCCGATTCATATATATATATATATATATATTCATACAATTATTGTCCTGATGTAAAGTTTGTCCCTCTGTTTCTTACTTGTATGTATGTATGTTTGTTTGTGTGTATGCGTGTCTGTCTGTCTGTGTGTTGATTTTATGTGTTTGTGTAAAGATAGATGAGTTTCTTCGACTTCGTCTTCTACCTCTTCTAATGTCTCTTTTTGATTCATCCTGTGAAATGATTTGTTAATGAGTGAACTAGCCAGCCAGTCAGTCAACCAGCCGTCAACCAGTCGGTCGGTCGGTTACAGAACTCAACGGTTGACTAAATTACTCTCAATCAATTCCAAGTGTTATCTCAGTTTTTCTCTCTTGAGTGTTTGTGTTTGCGTTGGTTTTGTTGTTCTTGTTGGTGCTGCTGAGATGCTCTGTATCTTCTCTGGGTGTTTGATTCTCAGTGAATCCTACCCTTTTTGCGTTTTTGTATTTTTGCTCAAGTTTAGAAGAGAGAAATGCGTTTTTTTTAAATAAAAGAATCTAAGCACTGTAAAAAGGATTTTTATACTTTTAACTGATTAAAAATGCCTATTAAGATTGTTCTTTTTTCTCTCTCCCTTCGATAACCTGCTCTTCTTCATTAGGTTCTACAGTTTTATACACACACATAATAGTCAATGAATGAATGAATTAGTGTTATTAACAACATTAATGTCTGAAGGTGTTAGGTTGAATCCGTGGTGGTGTCACTAGTTCGCGTATTGATGAGGAGTCCTGAAAATGGACGAAACACCTGTCTAATATTCCGTACTGGTTTTCAATCTGTGATCTTCTCTTGGTTGCTCACTGATCACTCTAACTATAGGATGAAGTTGTGACCATTGGGTTGTACCAGACTGTCCAGTCTTATTATTTCATGTTTTTTTTTATTATTGCTCCCTTGGGTTCTTAGTGGAACATAGGGCTTCAACTGCACGTCTCCATTTTCTTCTGTCTTCTGCTATACTTTTCGCCTGCATCCATGTTAATCCATATTCTTTCAACTCCTCTTCACACGATCTCCTCCATGTCACCCTTGGACGTCCCACACGCCGCTTCCCTTTCGGGTTCCACTCGAGGGCTTGGCACGCGATGTCACCCAGCGGTCTCCTCAGCGAGTGTCCGATCCATCTCCACTTTCTCCTGCATATTTGTTGGGCGATTGGTTCTTGCTTTGTTTGTTCCAGCTTTCAGAAGTTTGATTGCGTTCAAGACTTCAGCTCTCGTTGGGAGATTGGTGTCAACTTGCAGTTGTGTGCGCGCTGTTGTTGGTATTTCTGGACGGGTTGCAGGTGATGGTCGGTTCAAGAGTCCTTTGAAGTGATCCGCCCATTGTTTAATCTGTTTTTCTTCCTTGGTAATGGGCTTCCCTTGGCTGTCTTTTATAGGTTTCGCTTGTGTTGGTCTCTTCCCGGATAGAGATTTGGTTATCTGATATAGTGTCCTCAGGTCCCTTTTGCCTGCTGCCTTTTCAGCTTCAGTAGCTAGATTGTCGTAGAATCGTCTTTTGTCCTTCCTAGCACTTTTCTTCACTTCTTTGTCCAGTGCTTTGTAAGTTGAGCTCATCGTCTCCTTCTCCTGTCCGTCCTTGCATTGAATCATTTTCTCTTTCACCATTCTCCTCTCTTCTATTAATTTCCAAGTGTCCGTTGAGAGCCATTCCTTGTCTTGTCTCTTCTTTCTTCCTAGAACCGTTGAACACGTTTCGTTGAGAATCGCCTTCAGAGACTTCCAATGTTCTTCCACGCATGATTCTTCAGTGATGTCGCGTAGTGTTTCCTGCTTTGCTCTGACAGTTGCAGTGAAAGTGTCCTTTGTGGTTGTGTCCTTCAGTAATTGAGTGTTGAACTTGCATTGTGGCCTATCCCCAGCTATCCTCGAGGCTTTTAGTTTCACCTTGAAAGTCCCTTCTACTAGATAGTGGTCTGAACCCACATCTGCTCCTCTCCTTGACCTTGTGTCCAGTAGGCTCCGTCTCCACTTTCTTGAAATTGAGATGAAGTCTATTTGGGTTTTGGTGTTTCCATCTGGTGAAATCCATGTCGTCTTGTGTATATCCTTGTGTTTGAACACACTACCGCCAATCACCAAATCATTGAAGGCGCAGAAGTCTGAGAAGAGTTCACCATTGTCGTTCATTTCACCGAGGGCCTCACGACCCATGGTGAGTTCTCTTCCTGTGTTGTCTCGTCCCAGCTTCGCATTCATGTCGCCCATCAGGATTTTGATATCGCCATTTGGGACGTTGTCCATTATTGCTTGTAGTTGTCTGTAGAACGCCTCCTTCTTCTCTTGTTCTGAGACGTTTGTAGGCGCATAGCATTGAATGACTGTAACTTTCCTTCCTTTTGAGTTGAACCTGGCTGTCATTATCCTGGAGGAGATTGGTTCCCACTGCATGAGAGCTTTGGTTGCTGTTGGTGACATCATGATGGCCACTCCCTCGGTGTGCTCATGGTTGTCCTCTAGGTGGCCGGAATAGATTACTGTCTCTCCAGTAGGTAGTTGGCACCTTCCAGTTCCGTTCCATCTGCTCTCGCAGATTCCCAACACTTCTATTCTGTACCTTCTCATTTCAGCGGCTATCTGGGCAGCCTTTCCAGTTTCGTACATTGTGCGAACATTCCAGGTACCCATCCTTACTTTTGCTTTCATCGAAAGAAGGCACATCGGCTGACTGGCTTCCCGAAGGCTTTCACCAGCCTGCGTCATTTCACTTCCCCGATTCCAGCGAAAAGTAAGGCTATTGCTTATGTTTTTAGAATTTTTAATATATTTATTCGTTGAAGTTTCTGTAGCGATTTGGTTGTTTTACAGGGGTGGAGTTGCTAGCACCACGCCCCAACCCTCCCTCTTTACCCGGGCTTGGGACCGGCGAGAGAACTAGTAAGCTAGTAGCCTAGCAAGCTAGTATCATGTAGCTTGAGAATAATCCACATTGAGTCCTATGAAAAAGAGAAGACGTTCAGAAAAGAGACTGTTTTCGGTGGTGAGTTCATTCACATAGCTAGCTGTACAAGCGCATTTATATAGAGCTACTTTTGCACGTGTGTGTGTACTTGAGGTTTGTCAAGTTTAGATAATTAATCAGGTAATACAACAATGGTTTCAGGATTTCATCATGAGCTGACATTATTTAGAGAACCATTGGAAAACCTGGGAGTACTGGACAGCTGTTTTCTACGTCCTAGTTTGGGACTCTTCAGCAGTACGCACCCGCCGGGATTCGAACCCAGGACCTTCCGGTTACAAGCCTAGCGAGCTCGTATACCATTAAGTCACTGGGATCCGATCCAATGGTCCTTGAATTCTAGCTTCTGCCAATTCACGACATAGCGCGACCGCTAGCCAATGTCTTCGGCGAGTATTTGTCCTAACACCCGACCAGCTGCACCCTACTGGTCACGACTTCCCACTGGAACCCAGGAAACTATCTACCTGAGTAGGGCCAGTCGCCAGTGAGCATCTTATTGGTATTCAAGTGTGATCTAATAGAGAAAAAAGGTTAATTAGACAGCAACTAAAGTAAGATTGAGTTAGTTAGTAAGTTAGATGGATGACGTAATATAATTGACTAAAATGTTTCAACTTAGGTCAAGGTAACAACAGAGGTAATTACAGGTAGAGAGACAGACTAAGTAGAAGTGGGGAAGAGAATAATGCCACTTCAATTAGAACTGAAATTGAGCAAATAAGTTGGATGACGTAATATAAATGAGTGACTAGAAATTGAGTGATGGTCAAATCAGTAACAGTGATAGTGGGGTGTAGAAATTAAATCAGATAGGTGGGGGTAGAGAACAAGGAAGTCGAAAATGTAAAAATGTAAACAAAACAATTGAGAAAACAAAATAATACTAATGATGACAGAGAAAAAAGTGATTAGGTAGAATTCACTTGTCGGGTATTAATACAGATTACATCCATTGCAAGTGTAGTGATTGAACGAACTTCTTCTGTATGCAGAGTTCAGGACTTAGCAAGTGAATCGTCATTGCTTCTGCAGTTTTGAGGTAGTCTGTTGTTGTTTAAATAACATCGAATCAATAATAATAACATCAGTGGATTGCAATTCGATAGCATCAACATAACACTGCACTACACTGAATATCAGACAAATTAGTAAAGATAGTAATACCAATTTATAAATTTATAGTCTCCACTGAAGGCCAGTACAGCAACAGTGGCTGGCTTATTGTAAGTGTTTCTTCTGCACACAGAGCACTGGTTGTTTCAGGGGAATCGCGATATCCTCTGTTGTTTCACGTATGTGGTACCTTGATGACTTTGGCAATTTATTTGGTATGTGGTAGATGATGATAGAGAAGGATTCTTCAATGTTGGCCTTGTGACCAGTTTGGATCAGGTGGTCTGATATTTAGTTATTGACGCTTCTCACTTCAGTTAAAAAAAAAAACCAACTGTCGATCCTGAACTCACTCATAGGACAAAATTGAATAAAGCGAGAACAACATTGATTTGTGCAGAATAACATGGTACCATCATTTATTTCGTTGGCTTCTCGTCAGCTGCTTACAGCCTAAATAAATTTTCAGGTTTAAGTACAGAAACGTGTTAACATACTTGCAAATTTTACATGTTGTCAGTTGACAGAAAGTTTCACAATTAGTAAACAGTGCTCAGAAAATTGCGCTTATATAGTTTTTACACAGGCAGTTCAAGTTAAAAAAAAATAATAAATAAATGTATGCATAAAAAAAAAAAAAAAAAAAATAATAAAGATGGGATGTGCGTTGGATGCATAGTGACTAATAAGTTAGGTAACAATGCACTGAGTTGAACTCAAATCATAGAAACAAGAGACAAACAAAATTACAGAATATAAAAAGAGGGTGAGGTTAAAGACAAAGATTACGCAGTCAGATGAGAGGAAAAAAAAGACATCCAGTTACCAAGGTAAGGAAAGACTAATAACTGATTCTTTCTGAACACATAGATCTGGTTTCAAGCGTTTGATAGAAATTGCTTCGGCAAACTTGAGGAGAATGGGGCTCCTTTGTCTATTGATAATTTTGAAGGATTTCTCGATTTCCACCTCATGACCCGTGTCGAGGAGATGTCTGGTAATAGCGCTGCTATAAGAGTTTGTTCCCTTGAGACGTAGGCTTTTCGGCACATGTTCAGAAAATCGGAGGTGTGCCCTTCTTTCTGTTCTCCCAATGTAACTGCTCCCGCAGATACACGTAAATTTGTATACACAGTTGGAGTTAACATGATAAGGGTATCTATCGACTTTTGACTGCACCAAAGAGCATGTTGTTCGAAGGTGTAGTAATCGGATGGATCACGAATACCCCCTATCGTAGCGGATATATTTATGGACAGCTGGGAAAGTAGTGCTCTTAATACATTTAATCTTACTCCAAAAATATGGTGGAGGAGATACGTGGGCGACATTTTCACAGTGTTAAAATCAGAACATATCTCTCTCTAGCATCTTGACACAGATAAACTCACTACTAAAGGGAATAAAATTTACATTTGAGTGTAATGAAATAAACAAGGAGAATTAGCTATCATGGTAGATTGTGAAATAAAACGAATAGAAAAAAGTAAACTACAGACTAGTGTGTACAGAAAACCAACTCATTCTAATTGATACTTACACTTTAATTCATCTCATCCGATGACTGTTAAGGCAGGCTAAGTTAAGTGTTTAACAAACCGAGCAGTAGCACAAGAAAAGACCTAAATGATGAACTAAGACAGATAGAAGAGTCGTTGGTGTTCAATAACAGAAGAAGGTAAACTAAACACGATTATTAT